AGCTCAATCCTGAATGCGTCGAAACTGTTGGACAATTGTCTTGCAGAAGTTGCACTCGATTCAAACTTGACGCCATCGAAGTTCGTAGCATTGGCAGAATTACTCCCAGACCATGCCCGTATAGTGAATGATGGATTATACAGAGCTGTGGATATCTTTCTCAAGGTGAGCAACCCTTTCTCTCTGACAGATAGAGCTGCAAATGCCAAAACTCGTTTGCAGCCTTACCCACAGATGGATAGACCTATATCATTTCTATATTTGTGTCTGGATTTGTCAAGGCTTTAAACACTATTGTGTTTTGTGTGTGCTTCCACTGACAGGTTCATCCGAACATGAAGGACTCAGAGCGTTATAGACTTTGCAAAACCATCAATTGCCAGAAACTATCTCAAGAAGCCTGCAGTCATGCGGCACAGAATGAAAGGCTGCCAGTGCAGATGGCAGTCCAAGTGTTATACTTTGAGCAAATCAGGCTTCGAAACGCAATGAATGGCGGTCACAATCAGTTGTTCTTTGGCTCTGTCAATGGCCAATTCCCTCAGCATTCAGGTAGCGGAGCAGGAAGTGGATGCATCTCACCAAGAGACAACTACGCGTCGTGGAGAAGAGAGAACAGGGAACTCAAGCTGGAAGTTGCAAGAATGAGGATGAGACTGACTGACTTGGAAAAAGACCATGTTTCGATGAAACAGGAGCTTAGTGTGAAATCACATCTTGCTAACAAGTTATTCAGGTCATTTACGAAGAAGTTGAGCAAGTTAAATGCCGTGTTTCGGATTAAAGATATGAAGCTGATAGGTGGTAAGGCTAATTCAGAAACTCGACTTTTGTTTCAGAAGCGAAGGCGTCATTTTGTATCATGATTCATGATCAAACATGTGAGTACAAGAAAGAAAACACTTTTAATGTTATTGCGAATTTTAATGTTATTGCGAATTATGCGGTGTTGTGTTCAGTGAGATTTATTCTCTGCACTCTTTCTCCCGTTTTATCTAATGGAGTCTTTGAAAGAAAGCACTCAAATCAAACTTCGTAATTTGTATTCTAAAGGTTAGGAATTTGATTAATGGCAATACTTGGGAGGAAGATGTTGCAGGAAGCATTGATCGACAACATCTTCCTCCCAAGTGAGGCATTGATCGACCCGGAGCATTGGCCGAGCTTGGTATTGATTGACCGTGTTAGACATAATCACACATTGCCAATCTAATCCACCCAAGTTTGGTTAATATGCAAGGGCCTCTTCACTCTCATTGTCAATTGATTTTGAGTTGGATGCTTTAACATGGTATTAGAGCTAGATCTTAAGTTGTCTATGTAAATATTTACCCTCTCAATCAATAGGACTAATTGGTAATTAACCTTAAAAAAATATCTATATTTTTATTAGAGCATCTCTGATCCTTACTCCCTTTTTCATCGTATATGAGTGAAATGTTTGTTAAAACTTCGATTTTTTGACTTGTCGAAGACTCTAATTCTTACTCCCCCTTATATTTTTTCATTTTATTTGTAATTTATCGTCAATTTTTTGGAGAATTATCAAACTTATTTTAAAAAACCTATTTTAATTATTTTTGATGAAAGAAAATCGCTGCTAATCTTTCCGCTTTTTAAATTTTTATCAAAGTGACTGTTTAAAATTTGGTGAAATTTTTCACTTCTCTCTTGATTTGATACAAGTTTTCATGAAAAGATTGGAGTTCACTTTTAACTTTTTATTTATCAAATTTGAATTGAATGAAGAATTGGTAAGTTTAAACATCGATTCTTATTTACTTGTATAATGTGACATTTATAAAATATAAGATTATAAGAAGTGTTTGTAAGAGGGAGAATATGTAAGAGGGAGCATTCTTTTTCTTTTTTTCTTTTTTTTCAATTAAGCATTTAGGTCATGTTTGATTCACAAGATTAATAGTGAAGTATTAATAATCCTATTAAAATTAGTGTGGTATTCACTATCCAATTGGATTAATAGGATAAATTATCCATTGGATTAATAATCTCATCCCTACCCTATTACTAATAATCCTAAAAATTTGTTGGATTAATTATCTATTGGATTAATAATCCTAAACCAAAATGTTAAAACAAACACAGGATAATTGGGCTCACGGATTAATAATCTCAATCCCATGCTCTAACCCATCCAATCAAACATGCCCTTAGTGTATTGACATGCACAGTTGTTTTTGGTTAGAAATATTAATGGAGTAATGTACAATGATTATAGTGTGTTGATAAGTAAGATATTAAAACATAATATGGTATAGAAATGTGATGAGTGTAATATTATTAGATAACTGTTCAAACTGAGAAGGTTGTACTTGATCGTACTAGTGGAGCATTGGATAAGGCACTTGCTCGGATTGTCTTGTCTGAACAAGAAAAATTAAAATGAGAAGTTTTTTAAATGGAAAATATTTGGGAGCTCTAGAAAAGGAGCTCCAATAGTTCTAATGTGTGTGTGAACCCATTTGATATAATGTTTTGGCCTTGTGTTTTTTTTTCTTTTTTTTTTGATTTTCCACGTCACTAGAGCTCAATTAGATTTCTAGTTTTAGGGGGATAAATCACCATTGTTTTTAAATATAGATGTGCTTTGTTAACTTGACTTTTTTTTTACCAATGATTTTTGTTGACATCTTTTTAGGGGTGAGCATGGTCTGGATTGGACTGCATTGGGGTAAAATCAGGACCAATCCGTTATTTACGGTTTCTGAAAAATTGGAACCAATCTAATCCGTTTAAATCATGGAACCAATCCGAACCAATCCATTTAAATACGGATTGGATCAGTTTAGGACTACGGATTCACATAATTAAATAACAAAAAAATATATATATATAAATAACACTTTAATTTCATAAAAACATAAACATAGCGCTATATTAGTTCCACAATAGTAACATGTCTTTCTATAATAGCGACATACTGTTCTAGAATTTAAACAATCATAAGAAAATTGGTTTCACCATAATTATTTAGACCATTACAAATTAAAATTAAAAACTAACAAACAAAAGTAATAAAAGAAGATATTATGCAGGTTTAGGTTTGAGTTTATGTTTTATATGGAATAAGAGAAGATATTATGATGAAGGATGTATAATAAAAATATAGACTATTTGTATACGGTTCGGATCGGTTCCAATCCGGAACCTGGGGTTTAATCCGGAACCAATCCGTGGACTACGGATTTTTAATTCTTTAATCCGGAACCGAACCACGGATTCAAAAAATCAATTTAAACTTATCAGATTGGACTGAACTGGATCGGATTACGGATTTTACGGATTCCTTACTCAGCCCTATCAAATTTAATATTCAAATACAATTATAAAAAAAATCAAGCGGTAAATTCTTCTCAAATTCAATATTCAAATACAATTATAAAAAAAAATCAAGCGAATTCATTTGCACATCCATATTGGCATGATCATGATAGAGGTCCGTGTGCTAGTGGCTAAATGGAATTTTGTTAATTTTGCACTAATATCACAAAATTGTATCACATCTGTAATGGTGGTCTAACTTATAATCTCAATGTCAAAATTGGTGTTTTTTTTTTTGTTCTTTTTTTTTTCCTCTCCGAGTAGAACAGTAGAGGGATAGTAACGCCTCATTTGTCCTGTTCTGAAAAAGATAAAAAGTCAAAAAATTATTAAAAAAATTAAAAAGTTATCTCTATTCACAAAAAAAAATATATATATATAAAAACAAATTACACGGACGCCAAGTACAAGCATAAATAGCGGTGAAGTGATGTCAGTGATGGCCAAGTACAAGTCATATATATTGAAATGATGGTCAGTGATACAAATTTACAACGCGGGGTACACAAAAAAATTATCCCGGAATGGTGTTGTTCGGCCCGTAGGTGCCCATCACGGGTTCCGTTTTGATAATCTGAACCGTGTAATATGTAGAATTTGTCGAGTACTATATATTTATAAAAAATTACGTTGATCGGATATCTCTAACTATATGAACAAATTAGTTTTGTATAAAAAAATGGATGGTGTTATAATTAACGGTTGACAAAAAATTAATCCGATCAGATAGCTATCGATATCCGATCAACGTGATTTTTTATAAGCATATAATATTCGACGAGTTGTACACATTAACGGTTCCGATTAGCAAAACAGGACTCATGGTGGGCCTCCACGGGCCGAACAACATTGTCCAATTTAATGCCCGAAAAGGAGGCAAGCATCTCTTATATTACGCTCTGCAAACCGTGCTGCCTACCGTACAGTCTACAATGCACAAACTACTCCTATACACTAATTTATACAATTTTTAATACACATTTTTCATAAAAAAGTTAAAAAATTAACCTAAACAACCATATTTTTTTTCTCAACTTTTTAATCTAAAAAATTAAAAAATACATTTATTTAAGACATTCCAAACCACCATTAAATTGTCCCACAATGTCATCCAGGTGGGGTTACTCTAGTCTCAAATGGGGTATTATTAAACCCACGTGAATAACAAACCTTTCTTTTACATCTAAGTCATTTTAAATTGATTTCTCAAATTCAAATTATTTTAAAATTTATATTTTTAAAATATGACTTTGAGCTTGAAATTCTATATTTTGAAAACATGATTTAAAAAATAATAATAATAAAACTGTACATTGTGGAAATGTGGGATCAATTTTTTTTTTTTTTGTTATCCCTTAACTTTCTTTTGCTAATGTGATTATTTAATATGTTATTTTAGTAATTTTTTTTGATTTTTTAGTTAAAATATGAGACAAAAAAAATTAATATTTTTGAAATGATTTTTTAACTTTTTTTACAAAAATATATGTAAAAAACAGAGAAAAAATAAAATATTTAACTTTCATAAATTATTAATTTTTTAATTTTTAAATTAGAATAGTGAGTTGAGTGTCACGGTGGTAGAGCGACATGGCAACATCACAAGGAAAATGCCTTCGACCCGATCCTTGATTTTTGATTGGCTGAAAACTGTTTTATTTATGGGGCCACCCCACTGGGGCTCCCAGCAGTGCTCACATCACAAACAGATCTGAGTCGTGGACACACACAAATGAGTGACTTAGATTTGTTAGTGACACTGTTGATTTTTGATGTACTATAATAGCCGTCGGATTATGGAACCTCATCTGATCTGCAAAGCGCATTCAAATTTCAAAAGAAATGAAGGGAAAGTCGACCGTTGGTGGTGGCTGCGCGTGGCATGAAGTTGAAACTTCCAAGGACTCACACAAGCTCCAACTCTCTCTCTCTCTCTCTCTCTATTGTTTTTCTGCGTTGTGTTTGTTTCTATCGAACCAAAAAAGCTGCGACAATTTCTACAAAGGAAACTAAAATCCTCTCGCCCATTAATAGAAGATGAGACGCCATGGTTGGCAACGACCTCTCCACCCTTTACAGGTACTCCTCCTCCCTTTCCCGTTTTTCGTCGCAAATCAATGATGTTCTCTTTCTGTTTTGTCTCTGTCTTTGTGTCTCTATCTACTACTACTACTGCTGCTGCTGCTGCTATTAGATAATAAAGTATAATCTAAATTCATTCAACCAAATTACTTTCCAACAAGTAAAAAACACTCTTCATTTCAATGATTTGGGTATCTGAATTTATGTTTGCATCTTCGCTGAAGAAAAGTTGGATATTGATGTTAAAGCATCCAACTCAAAGCCAATTGGCTATGAGTTTCAATGATTTGGGTATCTGAAATTATGGTTGCATCTTTGCTAAAGAAATGTTGAATATTGATGTTAAAGCTTGCATCTTCGCTGAAGAAATGTTGAATATTGATGTTAGACCGTACAATACAACTTAAAACCAATTGGCTATATGAGTGGGCTTGGGTGTCTTAGATTGGCAATGTGGGTTTGAGTCTTTTAACACTTTTGGGTGTCTAAATTTATGTGTGCATCTTCGCTGAAATGTTGAATATTGATGTTAAACCAATAGCAAGTGGAGGTGATTGAGAGGTCTGATTGAGAGATGGACCGTTTGTACCACATATTGTGAGACCGCCCAAGACCCTAACTTAAAACCAATTAGTTATGAGTGGAGAGACCTTCGCATTACATTAACCAAGTTTGAGTCTCTTAGATTGGCAATGTGGGTTTAAGTCTAAAAATTGAAATGCTGTGATTTGTCAATTTGTTCACCTCCAATTTCATTTTGCTGGTTATTGCAGATAGTGGGAATGGCAGTTTATAGTTTTCTGGTTGTGGCCTTTTTTTGCTTCTTGGGGCTTTTCCTTGGAAACAGAATTGCAGAAATCACTGTCACAACAATTTTCTCCTTTGTGGTAAATATAAATTATAATATCAGTTCATCCTTTTTCAAATCTCTCTGATCAGGATTCAGGACTCGCTGACACTTTTTCAAATTTTTTGGGTTAATTAAATTTTCAGGCACTTTCAGGGATGCTTCTGTTTATTAGGTGTACCGCAATTGACCCATCTGACAAAACCCGTTTTAGAAACAAGAAGAGAAAATCCAAATCAAGAGGGTTATTAAAGCTTAATTATGGATTTATTTTGGGTCAGATTATTACAAGGTTTTTCAGAAGATTGGAGCGGAAGATCCTTAGAGCTTTTATAAGGAGGAAATACTTAGATTCATGGCAAACAAGTGGTCAAATGGATCCCTTGCTCCCATTCCCCCTTGTCATGAAAGATGATGCAATTGCACCTGACCCAGATCCCAGAGAGGATGACATCTCCTTTTGCCCACTTTGTGATTTTGAGGTTGCCTGCCTGCCTACATCTATCTATGATTCTATATTCACTGTTTTGTTTGGTTCCATTTTCAGATTTTGTTTTCTGATAAATAATACTAACAAGAAGTTCAGCGAAAATAAACACCAAAAAGATGTTTTTGAAAATTATTTTTGCACGAAAAAGAAAATTATTGAGTGTTTTTGAAATTTTTATACTAATATTTTTACCAATTTAGCTTAGATAAGGAAATCCAAGTTTATTTACAGTGTGTTATCTGAAAATGTTTCTCTCATTTTATTTCAGGTTAAAAAGCACAGCAAGCACTGTAGGACCTGCAACCGGTGCGTTGAAGGGTTTGATCACCACTGCAGGGTAAGAAGTAGGGTGTTTCTCATTTTCCAGGCATCGTATTTTGTTTCTGAAAAGACTACCATGTCATGACACCAATGTTCTTTGTTTGCATAATACCAGTGGTTGAACAACTGTGTGGGGAAAAAGAATTACACAACATTCATTCTTCTAATGATTTTTGTGTTGTTAATGGTCAGTTTCTTCTAAGATCACTTTATAAGTTTCCCTTTGTTCAATAGCTAGTTTTTTTCTTCTTTTGTTTTTTTTTTGGGTCCGATGCTAATCATGATTCCTACCGGTACAGCTCATAATAGAAGGGGGAACTGCTGCTGCCATATTTATTAGGTGCTTTGCAGATAAAAAAGGGATTGAGCGGGAGCTGGAGAGAAAACTCATTGTAGAGTTCCCAAGAGGAGTCCTTGCAGCAATATCTGTAATGTTCTTATTGTTCTTTTCCTATTCTCAGTGTTTACTTGTTACAATTTTGAATGCAAGCTTCACCGCTGATTTTAACTAGTCAATTTCTTACAGGTCATGTTAGTTCTGATGACAGCATACAGTTCAGCAGCGCTTGGACAACTTTTCTTCTTTCATGTGGTTCTCATCCGTAAGGTATTATAGTTATTGCTGCCATGCAAAGATGATTAGCACTGTTGGGTGTATGCTTAGGCCAAATTAATGGAAACTTGGGAATAAGTCATGAATGTTATTTTCTTGGTCCAATTTCTTGACATTGGTTCCCATGCATGAGAACCAGAACATGCATAAAAAGGGATGGGTTCAATGCGTGGTTTTTCAAGCAGACCCAGGCACCCAGCACTATGTTTGGACTTGGGAAAATGTTGAAATTTCGTTGCAATTTAAACTACCACGACACATGGGGTTTTTTTCTTCGAAGTTGTATGATGCCCCTTGCATCCCATTGTATCAACACTATAACAATAATAAGAATTCAACACTAGGAACACATTGCATTGCACAGCCCAGATCTCATTTGTGTACACACCAGTGTTATTGTCGTTGCTGTTGTTGTTAGTTTTTTGTTTTTTATTTTTTTAAATTCCATGACAACCAGACTTGAAGACATTTTGTGAAGTTCTCATTTTCATCACGGGTTCATTCATGAGATCATTATTGACTGCTGTTGCTCGCAGGGAATGAGAACATATGACTATATACTAGCAATGAGAGAGGAGAATCAGTCCATTGAACTAGAATCATCTGAAGATTCAGATTTCTCGTCAGATGATGAGAGCTTCGAGCTTGATTCTCCTGAAAAGCCATCATTTGTTTCCCGGTTTATATGCAGAGGACAACGAAAAAATCAGGTCAGACGTACAACAGTCTCCCTTAGTTTTTGTGTTGTTAGAAACTTTTACCACAGGTCTTACTGGATAACACTATGCTTATAAGTTTCAGAACCCACCAAGATTATCCATAAGAATTGATGGAGAACATGAACCACCTAAGAAGCAAGGTTTCCGTGCAAGCATTGACCCGTGGAAACTCATAAGCATGAGCAGAGATAAAGCATTATTAGCAGCTGAGAAGGCCAGAGAAAGGCTTATGTTTCATAAGCCTGTAGTGGGACAACACGATGCACTGAAGCCACTTCCATTGGAGACAAAAAGTGGACCAATGTTGAACCTCCCAGTCCCAGTCCCACCAGTCCCAGTCCCAGATAGAAATGTAGGGTTTGGCTTGACACCTCTCATCTCCAAAGGGAGGCATTCAGTTTCACCAGGACGGTTCTCAAGCCCAAGAAGACGATTTTCCAGTTCTCCAACTA